TGCTGGTTTATGCTGGTCCTTTGCTGGTTTAAACTGGTCCTTTACTGGTTTATGCTGGTCCTTTGCTGGTTTAAACTGGTCCTTTACTGGTTTATGCTGGTCCTTTGCTGGTTTAAACTGGTCCTTTACTGGTTTATGCTGGTCCTTTGCTGGTTTAAACTGGTCCTTTACTGGTTTATGCTGGTCCTTTGCCAGCACATGACCAGCATAAACCAGCAAAAGGACCAGCATAAACCAGCAAAGGACCAGCTTAAACCAGCAAAAGGACCAGCATAAACCAGTAAAGGACCAGTTTAAACCAGCAAAAGGACAAGCATAAACCAGTAAAGGACCAGTTTAAACCAGCATCAAAACATACCTAGCCAGCATATGCTGTTTTTTTCAACGGGGATTTGTGCTTTTTAATAAATAAAACACTTTCAGATGACTTCACCTCCATCCAAAACTTTTTGTTGCTTACATGGCTGAATAAATTATGTTGTGATTAAAATACAGTTGCAGTATGATACAGACACAAGGTGGCGCTCAGCATCTTGCCATTAACATTACACAGTAAACACACACAAAACAGTGTTTTTGGGTCCGTATTAGAGTAAAATAGATAGAAAGTGTTATGTTATTGCAGCATAAAAGCAAACTTCAAAATATCATTAATACATTCAATGTATTTATTTACCTTGTTGCACATTTTAATTCTTTTGCTGTAGGATTCTCCAGAAACGTTGCTGCAGTCAGAGATGTGCTGCTGAAAAGTGTTTAAAGGGGTCATATGATGCGATTTCAAGTTTTCCTTTCTCTTTGGAGTGTTACAAGCTCTTGGTGCATAAAGAAGATCTGTAAAGTTGCAAAGACTAAAGTCTCAAATCAAAAGAGATATTCTTTATAAAAGTTAAGAGTCAAACACGCCTACCTAAAACGGCTCGTTCTAACACGCCCCCACATGTCTACATCACTATGTGGGAAGATTTGCATAACGCCACCCAAATGTTCACGCAAAGAAAGAAGGCGTAACTTTGATTCTCGCTGTAGTTTTGTTGTTTCCGCCACCATGTCGTAAAGACGCTGTGTGCTTCGTTGTAAAAGTGAAACTACTTTGTTTGGCCTTCCAAAAGAGGACGATATCTGCTTCGTCATGCCTGGAGCTGATCCGTGCTGGTCGCTGAGGAAATACTACAACTTTGCGCTGTGGATCGCCAGATTGGCTTTCACCGTGGACGAAGCGGAGTCCAGCCCGGAGTCGTCACATGTCCTTCTGGATGTTCCTTCATCGAAATCGCCAGCCGCGCCGTTCTCAAGCCCACCCGCCCGCCTCTGCTCACTCAAACCCTCCGGCCGTTCCTGACGCTAGCCCCCGGCCTCTGCTCACTGTAGGCCGCGGTGTGTGACTGCTAAGGGTTAATTATTCTCATCAGAGAGCAGGTAAGTGTAGTGGGAGAAAAGTATTTCACTACAGCAGTGGATTTCAATCCTGAGTGTGTCAGATAAGAGACACATACAATCGGACCAGGATTGAAAAACACTGCACTGAAGGATGGAAAAATACTAAAAGTAAGAGTTGTATAATACAGGTAAGTGTTGTATAGTTTCCATCTCATCCATGCTTTTTCCATCTCAGTTTTAAAGTTTTTATGAATACTATGAACACAGTGTTTTTCGCCTACTATATAGTAGGGAAGGAGACACGAACACATTTACACAGACCCCACAACTTTATTAAAATATATACAGAACCAAAATCCCTATGACTGTATATGAAATGTTATAAAACATTTTGCATAAAAGTATAAAGAATTGTGCATACATAATCGTACAGGTGTAGATAAACAAAAACAAAGGAAACAGTGAGAGTAACAAGAAATCATTGGGCTAAAAGTAACTTAAAAGTGCAAAAAAGAACAGGAGTGTGTCTCAGATATCATCCTCAGTGACCAGGCAGTAAAAATCAGTGCGTGCGGCGTAGTTCCTCGAGCCGAGGTCAGACACGTCTATCTCTGGTTCAGCCGTCACACCTGGATCTGCAGGAAGCACAGGAGCTCTGGAGGGAAGGGTCTTGTAGATGGGCAAATGGAAACCTGTGAAGGAAACACATTTCATATTTACAATTAAATGTTATAATTTATAGGTAAACTTGAAAATACGCAATTTCCTGCAGCTGCTGGTATTTATAGGGCCAAAAAATAAGATGAAATTCTGATAGCTTGTAATGTAAATTTTCGTCATTGCACTCGTGTTGTCACGATGCACACACACGAGGAACGAGGAGACGCTGGAGAATACTTTACCAAGACTTTATTTTCAGGAACCAAGGGAGACGAACTCAGGTTTCAACATTTTTTTAAATAAATTGTTTGCAACTACTTAAAAAAATGTAGTATAATTTTTTTAGTGTAAACGCGCGTCAAAGACTGACAGAAGAGAAGAAATTGTTGAATAAAGTCGTTAATTTTGTTTTGGCAGCGGCTATTTGCACTTTAAATAGCAACAGAGGCTATTTATACTAAGTGCAAATAGCAATACAGTAGATGCTATTTACTCTAAGTGCAAATAGCTATAGATTCTATTTACACTATGTTAAAATAGCATGATTTTCTGCTATTTATACAACTTATTGCAAATAGTGGCAATTATTTGCACCTTTAGTATTGTAGTACATTATAAAGCAGTATGCAGTAATAATGTATTGAGTGTAAATGATCATTTTAATTCAAAATATTAAACGGATGCCACCTTATTGGGACAATAAAGCCCTCCCTACACCTACCCTAACCCTACCTGATACTGCATTTTCACCTTTTTGATTATTTCCTTCATTTTTATTGAAAATAATTGCCTTTCCGATGTGATATGAGATTTGAAAAGGGAGAAAAAATGTTCGGCAAAAGGTGGGTTCAAACCCGGGTCGATCGCGTCAAAAAGACTACAGTACGCGCTTTACCAACTATGCCACTGAAGCTGATGCTCAATGGCCCTCTTTTGTAGTGTTGGCTAGCCCAATCACACGTTGGTGGGCGGAGTTAGTGTAAATAGCCTCTGCCAACAAGACGGGCTATTTGTACTACTCCGTTTTGTTTTCTTTGCGCACAAAAAGTATTCTTGTAGCTTCATAACATTAAGGTTGAATCACTGATGTCACATGGACTATTTTAATGATGTCCTTGCTACCTTTCTGGGTCTTGAACTTATCAGTTGCATTGCTGTCTATGGAAGGTCAGAAAGCTCTCGAATTTCATCAAAAATATCTTAATTTGTGTTCTGAAGATGAACGAAGGTCTTACAGGTTTGGAACAACATGAGGGTGAGTAATTAATGACAGAATTTTCATTTTTGGGTGAACTGTCACTTTAAAGGAAGCGTAATCCAGATCAAATGTCGCTGTTGGAATGAAACTGAATGAAGATAAACTGAAGAAACACATTTCGTACCCAGGTCTCCTGCGGGATCGGGGTCCGGTCTGCAGTCCAGGTAATCAGGCTGCTGCGTGAGCATGGGATCTTTATCGCCCTGCAGCAGAGTCTGCGGATCGCCGGCAGATTCCCTGTGAAACGTCACCTTAAGCGGCATCGCCAGTGCCAGCTCCTTCCAGAAGCCTGAAGAAGGGGTCTGTGGGAAGGGAATGAGAATGATTAGGCTTGTTTAACCCCAAATCTCTCGGATGTATTGAGCACTGCGAGGGTCTGACCATGGAGTGTGCGCCCCAGGTGAGGGTCGTGATTCGGGGCTGGTGTTGTCTCAGCTGATGACTGATGTCCTGGCTCATTTGCTTCTGCTGCGACTGAAATATGATGAAGATGGGCTTCCTCGACAGCTCCATCAAGTGCCACAAACCCTGTCTGAACATGAAACAGCATCTAACATTAACGCTCATATGTTTCTTAAAAACGATGAAAATATATTTTTAAAACATCTAAGAAGAAAATGTAATAATAATGTAGGGTGGGACCTAATTTTACTCTCTCAAATTTGATTTGATCATAAGAGTGTGAGAACATGTTAGGTCACTATTATTGGTTAATATTATTCTTCCCGCCCACATGGCTTTGGTTAAATCAACGGAAGAGAAAAGTTGTTTCAGAGTCAGAGAAAGTTTTTATATTTTGTTAAAAGCTTGTTTCATAATGAAATGATCGTGAAAGATTTTCACCGCAAAACATATTTCTTTACACTAATCATGCACAATAAGATATTTATTAATTCAAAAAAGAATACAATAATACATGTATTCATTAAAAAAGGGAAAAAGAAATTAAAAAGGATGCATTTGAATGTTATTTACTACTTTGATTTGAAAATAAATTCATTAAATTCATCAAAAAGGAATCCTGGAATAAATGTATCACAGGTTCCACAAAAATATGAAGCATATGAAACTATTTTCAAATGAATTATGAATTATGCAATGTGAAATATACATAAGATGACATATTTATTAATTAAGAAAGGAATACAGATTACAATTAATTTAGATCTCTTGCTATTTATACTTTTAATGTTTTGTCAGTACATATAAATCAACAACACATTGTAAAATGTGTCTTTTTAGTTATGGCCACTGAAGCTAAGTACTATATATATATATATATATAAGCAGGGTGGAGTGGGAGATAGTATAAACAACGTGAAGTAATGCAAATACACTGTAGATGTTACCTAAAGTTGGTTGTGCACCACTCCTGCTCCAGGTATGACTGAGAGAGAACAACAATCAGCCGGCGACAGCGACTAATGTTCATCAGCAGCTCTGCAGACGGCTCTGAAGATGACACACACATAATATAAATCATCTGCTTTCAAATTTTCTACAGGTTTATTCCTTTATACTCTCTAATAGGGGGAAGTGGTGGCCTAATGGTTAGAGAGTCGGACTCATAACCCAAAGGTTGTAGGCTCGAGTCTCGTACCGGCAGGGATTGTAGGTGGGGGGAGTGAATGTACAGTACTCTCTCCCACCTTCAATACCATGACTGAGGTGCCCTTGAACAAGGCACCGAACCCCCAACTGCTCCCCGGGCGCCGTATATAACTTTCTTCTTTCGGACGAATCCAGTCGGAGTTATATTAAAAATGGTCTTTGATCTTTCAAGCTGTTTAATGGCACTCAGCGGGTGTTGCATTGCTTCATTCCAAAAGAAGTTAAATAAAAAGCGCTCCTCCATTAAAAAAAAAGTGTCTCACACGGCTCTGGGGGGTGAACAAAGGCGTCCTGTAGTGAATCGATGCGTTTTTGTAAGAAAAATATCCATATTCAAAACGTAATAATCACTTATATGTAGCTTGCGCCAACAGTCCTACACGGAAGCAGTTCCGGGCTGATGACATATGAGTTCAGCGTTGCGCATGCGCCGGTGAGTCTCGTGCAAACCAACATTTGTTAACAGGAGCAAAGGAAGCAAAGTTTCCTTACTTTAGCAAAGGAAAACCAGTCTCCTCTTGGCTTATATCGAAATCCTCTGACATTCTTCTTTACAAATCCTCGTTTTGTACTTCTAATTCTTGACTGTTGTTTT